CAGGTGCCAGCTTTTCCCACACCCTAAGACTGACCTGTGCTGGCCCAAATACAGAGGTAGGAGATAGGACTGTGGATGGCTTGTGGGGAACCTGGGCCTGCACCTGGGACCCCACTGTGAGACCTTACATGAAATCAAAACCAAACCTACTATGCAGGGACATTGTCATGTCCCAAAGATGGCATGCATCCTAGCTCCAGCCTCGAGGGGTGCCCTGAGATATTTTGCATTTGGTGAAAGGTTGTACGCCCAAGCTAGATGGCAGTAGCCCCACTCTGCCGCTCTGTAAGAGGCATTAGAGACCCTATGTCATCTAATCCCTTGTTATATAAATGAAGAAAGTGAAATCAAAAAGCACTGGGCAGAGCCTTCCAGTCCAGTGTACTCTTTTATCTCCATGCACTCTTCTTCTCCATGCACCTGTCAACCAGGTGGAGGTTTGCCTGATCTCTGAGAAGCAGACTGAGGTGCTGCTGACAGCTCTTCCTTGAACCATTGGGCTAGCCAGGCAAGGCTGACCGACTCTGCCCAAGTACCATGCCCAGGGTCTGCCCTCTTCAGAGTTTTTCACCCCACTGACACTAATTAGGCATCCACTGTGTGCACTATGTTGTGCTGAGTGCTTGGCACAGAACGAACAGTGAGGCAGAACCTCAGAGGCCAGGTTCAGAGGCTTCATAGGCAGGTTGAGGCCCATGAGTTGCACTAATACATCACCAAAGGTCACACTGTTCTGAGAGTACCAGGATCAGACCCTTCTTTTGGGGTGCCATTGTAGTGTAGTAGCTAAAGCTGCTCCCTATGACTCCAGCATTCCATATGGGCACTGTTCATGTCTCAGATGCCCCACTTCCAATCCAATGGAGGATAGCTCAAATGTTTGGGCACTTACCACTGAGATGAGAGACCTGGATGAACCTTCCAACTCCTGGCTTCAACCTGCCCAAATATTGGCTGTTGCAGTCATCAGGTGTGAGGCTGGCTGGGAGGGAGGTGAACCAGGGATGGGATCTCTCCTCTCTCTCTTTAACTTTCAGAAATAAAGATCTTCCTGCTTTCCAAATAGAAGAAGGGCACCATCCACCTGGGCTTTTCAGGACCAGACTACGCCTAATGAGGTTGTGATGTGTTTAGTGAGGCACCGTTGCATGTGAGGTACACTCTCAGAGGCTGCCCCCAAATAGGTCGCTGTCCCATGGGTCTCCAGGGACTGGGCTCTCCTGGGTTCCCATTCTGTGCCACCAGAGTCAGCCAGCAATGCCCTCTGTAAATGAATAGAGATTTTCTAATGTGAGTGAGTGGGATCCTCAAGAACAAATTTCAACCCAGATAATATCACAGCAGCCTTACCCTGTGTAAAGTGTGCACAATGATGTGTCCTGACCTTAAGCTGCATGGCACCTCCCTTCTGCTACTTCTGCCCCATGCTGTGCCTGAAGTGGGCAGAAGGCAACCAACCATGTATAAATTAGAGGTCTCCCTCCACATACAAGAGGACTTGCAGCACCTTTTCTCCAGGTCTTATGCAAAGGAAGCTTGGGAAATGCAATGGACTGGGTGTGTCACTTCAAAACCCACCTCCCCTGGAATGGTATTTGGAGGTGGGGTAATTGAGAGGGAATTGGGGCCAGATAAGACCTTGAGAATGAGTGACCATGATGGGATTGGTACCATTCTAAAATTGAGAAAAGACCAGAATGTCCCCCAACCATGACACCAATGGAGACAACCAAAATGCAGCTGACTGCAAAAGCCAACAAGAGGGTCTTCACCAGAACGTAACCAGGCTAGCACCCTGGTCTTGGTCTCCCAGATTCCAGAGCCATGGGAACCAGATCTGCTATTTAAGCCATTCAGTGTATGATCTTCTGTGGCAGGCATTGGGCCTGGCTCACCCGGATGAATCATGTCTTAAAAGCACCACTGTGATTTTGACCAGAGCCTTCTCTAGCCCCTGAAACACACCCACACGACTTGGAGCAACATGAAATGAAAACTTTACATCTGGCTCATCTCTGGAGTTGTGATGACTGTAGGAAACATCCAATCAGAAGGGACCAGTGTGCTCCTTGCATGCATCTTTTGAAGCATTGTTACAATTTCCTTATCAATTTCCCCGTACATGTTTTCTGCAAGGGGCTATAATGAAAAGGTAGTGAGGGTCAAGTTGATGTCGGCAGCAGCTTCTGTGGGGAATATCTCAGCTAACCATTCCTGCTGTGTTGCTGCCAGCTGCCAAGTAGGAATTCTTATTATTCTCGAGGCAAAATGATTGGAAAGCATTGGCCTGATTTTCTGTCTTCTCCCAACTCTCCACTTTCTAGCTCCCTTCACACTTCCGTGTCTCCTACCTTCATCACAACCATGGATCAGCCATATTGGCTCAGCAAGGAAGACTCACCTCCAGGGCCAGCTGCTCCCAGGCTGCAGAGCTGGCACAGTGGCTGGCACTGTAGAGGATTTTCATAGCTTTCTCGTGGCCTCTGGCAAACGGAGACACCCTTGACCATCTCAGGGTAGATGTCTAGCTTGTTTCCTATGGGACATGGCTACTGTGATTGATAAGTTAACCTGGCTTCCTGACTGTGTGTATATCTAGCTCTGGATGTGAGAGGACAGCAGGAGTGGGGAACATTTAAACGTTGGAACTGACCGGGGCTGAGAAATTTCTGTTGTCACTAACCTGAGCAACAGAAAGGAAAAGAAGTCTGTTTGCTTTCCTCTAGGGCATGGTGGCAGAACTGAAACAGATTAGACACTCTGTTTGAGGAAGACATGGAAAGGGAGAGGTCCCAAGCAAAGGGGAGATGGGAAGAGGGAGATGCCAAGAGGTGGAGTGACAGCTGTTATAGGTGTCACTGGTGTTGGACTGATTAGGGATGGTCTCAGATATAGGAATAATAGATAAGCTCAGGGCTGCCCAGCATGGGTTCAACATCTGTAAAATGAGAGCAAGATGTTTCTATGATTATTAAGTGCAATAGTGGGACCTGGGAGCAGGTGTTGAGTAAATTTGTGACAAGTCATCATAATTGCTAAAGAGGTTCATTACCAGCCCAGCTGCCCCAATGGCTTAGCTCCATTGGGTTCATTGCAGGGCTGCCCAGCCCAGGCCAACACCCACAAGCACTGGGGCTTGATTGAAAACAGAGCATCTGAGAGGCTGTCGTGTCTTCAAAAGCAAGCATTGGGGTGGAAGTTTAGGGCCAGACCAAAACCCTAGTCTGCCCTTGGCAGCTGTGGACCAGCCTACCTCCCTGGGTAGGCCTTTTCTCTTCTACTCCTGCCCCCTCCATAGTCCCTTGGGCTTCAAATAGGTACAGAAAGCAATGTTTCCCATAGCTTCTGGCCCAAAAGGATGCCTCTAGGCAGAGCAGGAAAATGGGAGGACCACAGAGAATTCAGTGAGCCAAAGTGAGCTCAAAAAGAGGGTTGAAGGAGAAGGCTAGAGCATGCGATGTTGCACGTGTAGGGGCAATGAGGAGGAAATAGTTAAGAGGCTCCAGGGGAGGCAAGCTGTCTCCCAGGTCAGGCTTCAAGTGGACAGCACTGAGATTCACTCCAGTTCTTCTCAGTTGGCTTTCTATCCATGAATTCAGCCAACAGCAGGTTTCAGATACATAAGAAAGAGAAAATCACATTTACACTGAACCTGTGTGGACTTCCTTTCTTGTCATGCTCCCTATAGCAGTCAGTCAAATAATTTTTGGTGCAGCATTTACATTGTATTAGACCTAGTAAAGAATGTAAGGATGCTTTAACGTACTCAGAAGCAGATGTAGAGGTTATGTGCAAAGACTTTGCCATTCTGCGTTAAAGACTTGAGCATCCCTGGAGGAGTCCTGGAGCAAATCCATTGCAGATACTGAAGGATAACTGTGTGATGTGTTATGAGAATGCCACTTGGGATCCAGGCTTCTGCTAGTGCTGGGTATGGTTTGTCACTTGTGTGCTCACTTGAAGTCTGGTTAACTTCATGCTCTTCAAGTTGTAGCTTTTATCCCCTCTAAGTGAACGGACCCAGTTTTTCAAAACATTTGACTGAAACACAGCATAATAAGATACGTGCAGATGTGTTTTTTGGAGATCCTCTAACTACATTCATAAGCCAACATCCAAATTAAAAACAATGTGTTGGGGCCTGGTATGGTAGCCTAGCCACTGAAGTCCTCACCTTACACGTGCTGGGATCCCATATGGACGCCGATTTGTGTCCCAGTGACCCTGCTTCCCATCCAGCTTCCTACTTGTGACCTGGGAATGTAGTCAGGGACAGCCCAAAGCCTTGGGACTCAGCACCCATGTGAGAGATCCAGAGAGAGCTCCTGGCAACTGGCTTTGGATCGGCTCAGCTCCAGCCATTAAGGCCATTTGGGGAGTGAATCAGTGGAGGGAAAATCTTCCTCTCCCATCTCTCCTCCTCCCTGTATGCCTGACTTTCCAATTAAAAAATAATAAATCTTGAAAAAACCACACATTGAGCCCAACACAATACCCTTGTGGCTAAAATCCTCACCTTCCAGCTGCTCTGTTTCCCATCCAGCTCCCTGCTTGTGATCTGGGAAGGCAGTGGAGGATGGCCCAAGGTCTTGGGACCCTGCACCCACACGGGAGACTGAGAAGAAGTTCCTGACACCTAGCTTCAGATCAGCTCAGTTCTGGCCATTGCTTTCACTTGGAGAATATGCTAGCAGACAGAGGGTCTTTCTCTCTGTCTCTTCTCTCTGCAAATCTGACTTTCCAAGAAAAACTGAGTATATCTTTTAAAAAAACATTACTGGGAATCCCAACAGTCCTTAATATCCTCCCCCATTCCCTTCTCTCTCTCTCTCTCTCTCTCTCTGTGTGTGTGTGTGTGTTGTAAAGATTATCTTATCATTTATGTGGTATGACTCAGTGAAACAATAACAGACCCCACATTAAAACCAGAACTCTGCAGTGAGACCTTCAGTGCTAGAGATGTCACCACACTGAACAGGTTTTCTTTCTCTCTTCTTTAGCCCTGCACGAATTCCCCAGTGACATTTTCACCAATGAGGACAGAAGACAAGGCGCTGTAGTCCTTCATGTGCTCTGTGTAAGTACACTCCTTGTGCCTCTGCCTGGAGGGTCAGTGGGCAGAAGAGGGTTGGGCGAAGGTGCCGATGGAGGAGTCTCCCCTCCTTCCCATTCACAGGTCTGCAGAGGCTCTCTGAGCCCTGCAGGTGGTGACCTCCAAGTGGATCATCTTTTAAAGGACACAGGTTCCCAAGCTGGGAGACATCTGTGTGCGTTGTTTCTGTTGTGCACATGTGGGCTCTAACATCAGAGTTGTTGGAGATCCTTTTCCTACCCAGCCTCTCTAAATTACCACAGGACTTCTCCTTCCTTGATTTGTTCTGCTACGTGTCACCTGACATTTCATTTGTTGTTTGCTTATTTTCTGTTGTCATCATGCGTAAGCCCTGTGAGGGCAAGGATGTTGTTTGGGGCATGGCTTTGTTCCATGACCCACTGTTGGCACATGGGAGATGCAGATATATGTAAATGGCGGACTACAGTAATGGAACCAGTGTCTGGCACTTAGTATGTGATCAAGAAAAGCTTGTTTCCTTCCCTGCTTGTCTCTACTGTCTCATAGTGTTCTAGCATCTTTCTCTACAGGCCAGCGGATCTAGGTCTTTGAGTTTGCTTGTGCCTGCTTACAGAATTTTGGGAAGTCATGTGGTGACGTCTGTATAAGAGAGCAGGAGAGGGGAGTGGGACCAGTAGCTCCCAGGCAACATCTGTGTTAGGTACACCACCACCTTCCAGACAATATGGAACTTGCTCCCCTAGAAGGATCTTCATTCCATTCTGGTTATGTATTGCTACAAAGCAAACTTCCAGAATGTACTGTTACAACCAGCTGATCACAATCTGATTTTTGTTCATGGGCTCTTTGTTTTAAACTCATGGGAATGTGTGCCTTGGAATCTGGTGTCTTGGATGGGACAACTCTGATGATTGGTAGTCACACAGATATCAAGGAAGGGGGAACAGGAGCCACCAGCACAGGGCAGTTTCCTTCTTTTTGTAAAGATTTATTTATTTGTACTGGAAGGGCAGATTTACAGAGAGAAAGAGAGATAGAAAGATCCTTCTGTCTATTGGTTCACTCCACAAATGGCTTCATTCACAGGAACTGAGCCAGTTGGAGCCAGGAGCTTCTTCAAGGTCTCCCACGCACGTGCAGGGTCCCAAGGCTTTGGGCCATCCTCTGCTCCACTTCTGGATGGGAAGCAGCTGACCCAACACATCAGCCTCAGGGAGGTCTTCTTCTAAGAGGGATTCTGCTCTCCTATGTGTTTTGCCTGAAGTGTGGTAGCTAAAGGATTGGCTCTTCAGCTGTGACTCTCAGCAAGATACTGCTGTGTAACCTGTCCAGCTTGGCAGCCTTGGGGAGTAGGTTATCCATGTGGCCGCCTGGGACTCAATAAGCAAGAGTTATAACTGTCAAAGAAGGAAGAAACCACATGGCCCCTGGTGACTTGTCTGGAAGTCACACAGTGCCATTTCCTGCATGTATCAGTGCAATCATAAGCCCATTACAGTCCAAGGCAGCTTAATGTTTTAGTGCATGCCTGGAGAAGGTCAGAAGGCATGGCCTGGGCTCCGGAGTCTGCCCAGACATGACTGGCGGCCCACATCTATCAGCTGGTTGGCCTGATATTGTGGGTGGCTGCAAGCAAACGTCAACCTCTCTGGACCCGTTAGTGTCCCCTCTGCTTGATTCCCTTTCTGACGATAACAGCTGGCTCCTCAGCACTTCTCCCCGCCACCACTCCCCAAAGCAGACATGAAAAATGCCTTTGAAGCCAAGACACTGTCTGCAGACACGGGAAACCCAAGCAGAGGCTGCACCCCTCCTGGTGCTCTCTGATCTTGGGGATTGTCACCTACACTGAGCAGTTAGCACAGATGCCACCAGAGAGGCTCCACTGTCACAAGGTTGAGGAGCCCCAGGCGCTGGGCGGGATCCAGAACTCCACAGGAGCCAGGAATAGCCCAGTGCTTCCACAACTAAGATGAGAGGTTTCTACTCTCGGCCCAAACAGCAAGCTTTCCTCCTCCTGGAGCAGTGCTGCTGGCTGCCTGCAGCTGTTTTGGCCTCTGCTGTCTGCAGTAGGTCACTTCCAGGTTAGCATAAGGACCAAATGGACAAACCAAGTGATATCAGTAGAGACTTAAAGAGGGTGGATATAACTGTATAGCTCAGCACTTCGTAGTCAGGGTTGTCCAGTGTCACTATTGACCCCAGCCCTCATCCCTGTACTTTAGAATCCACAGGCAAGAAGTTTGGGTTCCAATGTCCATGACCATGCCTCCAATATCACAGCCTAGGCACATGGTTGAACCCTACATTGTGAACCCAAATACCCCTGTTCCTGTTTGTCAGTCCCATGAAGGATTCTTCTCTCCCCATTGTCCAGGGTTGGATCAAGTAGCCAGAACAGAGGGCATCTTGTCTACATGGAACATCCAAATGTCGGGGTGGGTGGCATCTTCCGTTATGCTACGCATTAGAACCAAGGGTTCCCAATAGGATGTAGGCCTCACGAGAAAAGCTCCTTTATACCATCTCTAGTACATTGAACATCCAAAGCTACACAGCCACTAGTCAGTGCTCACCAGCTCATGTCACTCACTGTATTTAGCATGCTCAGGAATTGCTGTGTGGCCATCATTTGATATAAGGAGAATGGATGCATGTAGCAGCAGACATTGGCATTTTAATGGCCCACGGGAAATAGATGGATACATGGGTCAAAGCAGAAGGAAGGTAAACATTGACTTCGTGCATGTGGACATTTGGAAAACACTGGCCTGGGCCCTTCTGGGGGTCCGAGATGCAGTTCATTCTGAGAGAACTCATCCTGTCCTGTAAGGAGACCCTCTCAGGTCCAGCATGTGCCTCACCCTGAGTTCTGAGCACAGTCTACACTGCCTGCCATGGGGGCCCAGAGGATGCACAGGCAGGTGTCAAGGTGAGGTGCTGTTCAGGAAGGGCAGGTGAGCTATTTCCAGTCATTCTGCCACAGAGAAGGGTGGCAAATCCCAGGCAGGAATGGGAAGCCCAGTGGTCACAGATGAAGATGTGAGTGTGCAGGGCCTCTGGAGGGACAGAGGACGAAGGGTGTGGAGGGTGGGTGGTGAGAGAACATGAGGATGGAGAGGCAGTCGGGCTCAAGTGGTCATCACAAGGGGGCTTGGCTGCAATTTGACAAATGAGGAAGAAGAACCCTGCCTAGAGTTTGGGCTGATGAAGATGGAAGCTAGGCCAGAGGTGGCACCAGAGCGAGCTACCTACAAGTTAACAAAGACCTGGGCAGAACATAGACAGGGCTTTAGGGCCAATTGGGGAGGAGCTCTCAGAGTCCCAGGCTCTCCATGGAGCACCCTGGGCCCTGGGTAGGCAGGAGAGTCCATACAGAAGTGAATGTGGGACTGAGCCTCACCCAGCCACCTCCAGGTCCCTGAAGAGGTGGGACCACCTCATCTAGGCAGGACAGGACAATCTTTTGTCTGAAGAGTTTGGACATCTTGTTAAACCCTTTTCCTGGGCTACCTCAGAAGGTCACAGGGCTGGTCTTCCATGGGATTAATTGAACAAGGTCATAAACGTGAAGCACAGTATCAGATCCCTGCCAGTGCTACTATGAAATCTGGTCAACCCCAGAACTTAGCTCTAAACCTGGACTTGCCCCATTTCACTGGAGCCCCCATGAGTTTGCTTGTCTCGAAGAACAGGCAGCCTCTGGCCTCAGTCAGGGGCAGGGCTGGGGAACAAAGCTGATCCTGTGGATTAGGCAGTGTCAGATCTCAGATACCAAAGCTGACTGCTCTCTTTGTCTTGCGTGTAAACTTTACTCTCTTTTGTGTGTTCTTTGTGGGACTCCAACAACCATTGCTGGCTCAACTTTCTAAACATGATAGCTGTAATTTTTCCCTCTTGAATCTTTGGGCTTCTGTGGATTGCAGAAACTGTAAATCCCAAGCTTGTGTGTTTTTAACTAAGCTTTCTCTTCCTTGTGACTGTTCTTCATGTATGAGTTGCTCACTGGCAGGGAAATTCATATCTTGACCATTTTGTCCACAAGAAACATCCCCAAGAAAACACCTGTCTTAGAGCCTGCATTACAGTGATGAAATCTACATCCTGTCCATTCATTACTTTGCCGCAAAGGTCGGGATGGGAAGTTTGTGCAAAGTTGTTTATTATTGTGTATGACATGCAAAGCTGAATCTTTGAAATTATCAGCCAAAATGTAAATTTTTCTCTTGTCATAAAAGAAGCTTTAAGTAGTAATCAGTACTTGGAATTCTTTCTAAGAGTAGGTGTGAGCAGCTGTCTATGCTTAATAGATCTAACTTTACAGCAGGAATAAACACCCAGTGCTGTGGCCCCCAGATTATTCCAAACCTTCTGGCCTTCCTTTGCCACTTGCATGTAATTCCTCTCTTCCTATAGATGGATAACGTGTATGTGTCAGGTGTAAAGCACAGTAGAGTCACACCAGAAAGTGATTCTCTAGATCTTACTGATGCTAATTCTCTTTGGAAAAAGAACTATTGACTGGCCCAGCCACCCACACCTGTTAATGGCTTTGCCCAGGGAAGAAAAAGCCAAAAGGAACATGCTTCTGATGAGCATCTTGTTCAAAAACACACTCATGCTGTGAGAGGCCCCAAGATTAACTCAAGAATTTATGTTAAAAGAACCTTTTGCTCCACCAAGCTGTGGTGGTGGTTGACATCGGGGCCCCCTGAATCTTCCCAGAACAGCAGAAGGCATGGGTGTGTTTAGGGGCAGTAGGGAGCTGTGGGAGGTTCCATGGCAGCTGACTTAAGCCCACTGTGTCCAGTGGCAGACTCTCTTGTTCCCCGTCTCCTGCTGGTGTCCTCATTCAGGGTACACACATTAAGAAGCAAGCCTTATCTACATATGGTGAGTCATTTGGGAAACCCAGAAATGTTTCTTTTTTCTTTAAAAAAAAAGATCATTTATTTGAAAGGCAGAGTTACAGAGGGAAAGGGAGAGGCACACACAGAGAGCTG